TGCCCCTCGCCCCCTCCAGGCCTCTCCACCTCCTTGTCCTCCCCATCTACCACATCCCGCACCCCCGGCTGGGGCCCCCCCAGTGACGTCCCTGCAGCGGGGACGCTGCACCCGCCGGCTGCACCTCCTGCACCCCTGGGTTTGGGTGGTTTTAAACCCGCCGCACGCCTCCCCCGCCCGGCTGAGCCCGGTGCCGCTCAGCACACCTCCCGCCCTGCCCCACGGGGTCCCCGGGGACCCCGCTGCTCCCCAGGGCCCGCGGGGGGGACGCTTTTGCAAAGAAAAACAAAGGCTGGGATTTAGAAATAACCTTTTGGGTTATTTTTTCCCAAAGCAAAGCCCAGTTTGGGTTTATTTTGGCCGGGGAGTGGCTGGCTCCGGCTCCCGGCAACCCAGCGCCTGCTGGCCTTGGGCTGGGGAAGAGAAGAGAATTTAAATCTGAGATACGAACCAAAATGGATTTCCAGGAAAATTCTTATTTTTGCCATCTCTTCTTCAACCTGATCTCATCAGAAAAGGAAAAAAAATCTGCGGCAGCGGGTGGGGGCCGAAGCGCTGGGGTCTCCCTGGGGGTTCGCTCCCCAGTGCTGCCTGCTCCCTGGCGTCCCCGCGGCCCCTCCTCGGCGCGGTACGGTGACGGCGTGGGGCAGCGGGGTGGCAGTGACAGCCCCCGTGGAGGGTGCCTGTCCCTGGAGATGGCCCCGCGCAGCCCGCGTCCCGTCGCCCCGATCCAGTTCCTTCTCCCACTGTCCTGCTCCTGCTCCCCTTGCTCCTGCTCCCATCGCCCTGCTCCCAGCGCCCTGATCCTGCTCCCACCCCTCTGCCCCTTCTTCCACCGCCCCGGCCTCGTGCCACGGCTCCAAGCCCTGCAGACCCCGGTGTGGGTCCCGCTGCCTGCTGCTGCCTGCCTGCACCGTTGCCGAGCCCCCCAGGCCCTGGGGTACGGCGGCCGGTGTGGCCTGGTGCGAGGAAACCCTCTGGGCTGCGCTTGTGACCAAAGCGGGGAGAAAATCGAAGCTGAAGGCCGGGTGTTTATTTGTGACCCGCCCGGGATCCCACGCTGCGCAAGCAGCCCCAGCGCGGCGGGCAGGTGCTGCCTGCAGGGACGGGGGGGCTGCCTGCGACGGCCCCGCTGTTCCCCGGTGCTGCGGCCCCGCTCACGGGTTGAAGACCTGGGGATCCCCCCCTGCCGTGGAAGCGCTTTTGCAGTGGGGAAACTGAGGCATGGCACTGTGGGGTGGCTTCAGCAGCGTTTGGGCCAGGCCCCCGTCTTGTCCTGCCTGTACCCAGGGGTGCAGGCAGGGAGCCAGGCAGGGCGGGGGTCACGGCGCACCCGGCCTCGCCGCGGGCAGGAAGCCGGGTGTCAGGGCGGGAAGAGGAAGAGCGACTTCCCCATCCGAGGGGACAGGGTCCGGCCGGCGGGGGCTCGGGGCGGGGGGCACGGCCCCTTCGCCCTTCCCCAGCCCCGCAGCCCGGGGGGCTCTGGGGATGGGGGTCCCCCCCAGCCCGG